TTTTTTTTTAAAGACGGGGTTTCACCATATTGGTCAGGCTGGTCTCGAACTCCTGACCTCTGGTGATCCGCCCGCCTCAGCCTCCCAAGTGCTGGGATTACAGGTGTGAGCCATCGTGCCCAGCTCCATTTTATAGTTTTAAACTAATTTAAATGTTGTTTGAATTCCTCTAAGCTGATTGTTGGAAAGGAAGATGGTACATGGGGTATGCACAGGCCTGGCTGTGCTGCCAGCAGGAAGCCCCTGACCGGGCAGGGGCTGTGAATGTGAGCTGTGAATGGAGCTGTGAATCTCAAGCACACATGCACTTCTTGTTCCCGCTGCTGGGTTCCTGGCGGTATGCCCACAGGCACAGGTGTTCTGGAGATGGCATTGTCCCCTCTGCTGGGTCCGTGGCGGTGTGTCCTCAGGCTTGGGTGTTCTGGAGATGGCATATGCACTGCTGGGTCCATGCTGTTATGTCCTCAGGTGCAGGTGTTCTGGAGTTGGCGTTGTTACTGCTGGGTCCCTGGCGGTATGTCCGCAGGCACAGGTGTTCTGGTGATGGTGAGACCGAGTGGGCTTCTTGCCTCAGGATTTGGCCCTTGGACTGGCCTTAGTGTTTGTCCCGGCCCTGCCTGTGTCTGGGTCTTGGCTCCGATCTGACCAGGTGTGTGTAATGAGGTGGAGTTCCTTAGACACAGACAGCTAGGAGAGCTGGTAACCAGTTGAAGCTTTGGTTTATTCAACAGGTGTGGGCCTGTCTTGGGGGAGCTCCACGTGGAGTGGTTTGCTATAGATGCTGGCTGTGCAGGGGTGACTTGGTTTCTTGTCATCTCTGAACAAAAGAAAAAAGAAAAAGAAATGGTTTCCTCTTATCTAAGGTGGGAACCACTCCTGCTCCTTGCTGAAGTTACCTTGGCAAATGACGTGTCGGTGACCTGGGACAGCTTCCCGTTGTCTTTGTCTCCAATATCTTTAGGGAAAAATCGGCACAAACGCAGGATCTTCCGTACAGGACGCTGCCCCTCCCAGTTCAGTGGAGCTTTCCTGAAGAAGCTCTGGATGTCAGCTGTGTCATGCTCATGCGCTTGGTTCTCTTTCTTGCTTCCCTGCTGGCTCAGAGGACAGGAGGCGCCGGGAGCGGGAGGACCAGATGTACCGAGAGCGGCTTCGGACCTTGCTGGTCATCGCGGTTGTCATGAGCCTTCTGAACGCCCTCAGCTCCAGCGGGGGCAGCATTTCCTGGAACGACTTTGTCCACGAGATGCTGGCGAAGGGCGAGGTGCAGCGCGTCCAGGTGGTGCCTGAGAGCGACGTGGTGGAAGTCTACCTGCACCCTGGAGCGGTGGTGTTTGGGCGGCCTGTGAGTGAGGGTGTGGGCGTGGGCTGTTGCCGTCCTTTTGGAAACCTGGAGTTGAGGGTGTGCCTCTTTCTCATACAGGGCCCTCAACCCATTTATTTGCATTTATTTGGTTGTCTTTTTTTGTTTTTTGTTTTTTTCGAGGTGGAGTCTCACTCTGTCACTCAGGCTGGATTCCAATAATGTGATCTCTGCTCACTGCAACGTCTTTCCCCCAGGTTCAAGCGGTTTTCCTGCCTCAGCCTCCTGAGTAGCTGGGATGACAGGTGCCTGCCACCACACCCAACTAATTTTTGTATTTTTAGCAGAGATGGGTTTTCACCATGTTGGCCAGGCTGGTCTCGAACTCCTGACCTCAGGTGATCTGTCCACCTCAGCCTCCCAAAGTGCTGGGATTACAGATGTGAGCCACTGCACCCAGCCAGGTCTTTAGATTCCAAGAGCGTGTCAGAACCTGTGTTTGGAGCACTTTAACCCTGGATAATGTGTGGACCAGTGATTAGGAAAAGTGGTCTGGGGTTGGTGTGGCCCAGACCGGGGGAAATGACCAGGGCCTCCACCAGAGCTCTGCGCCTTCACTGGGTTGCTCAGGATTCAGCATGCTTTTCCTTTTCTTTCTTTTTTTTTTTTCCTGAGCCCCTCTCCTTTTCTTTTTCTCTGTTTTTTGAGACAGAGTCTCACTTTGTCGCTCAGGCTGAGGTGCACTGGTGTGTGATCTTGGCTCACTGCATCCTTGACCTCCTGGGCTCTGTCTTGATATTTTTAAAAACCGGAAACCCAAATGAACACCATGGCTAAGTGTGGAGGGTGGCGTTCATTCATGTAAATTCTCCGAGGGACACCTGCACATTTCAGCCTGGAAGGTTATTTTAACCTGCAGCATCGTGCTCATCTCTGGATGAGTCACCTGATAAAACAGCTCCCTTAAGGAGAAAATGCTCAGAATGCCATCTTAGCAGTTTGGGGTGTAAGTGAGGGAGCAGTAGGTGCCAGCCCCCCCACCCCTGTCCTCTGCTGGAGTTTGCGGTGAGCCTCAGAGAGCCCTGTAGGTCTGTCTTGTCCTCCCTTTGAGCTGGTGCCATCCAGTCATGCTGAAATCCGAGGTAAGTGTGTGGCGCTCACTTAGGAAAACACTGCTTTTGGAGAATGACAGGCCAGGGAGGCAGACCCACTGGTGTCCTGGTGTGAGGGATGAACAGTCTTAGGTTTTGTGGGGAAGCACGAACCCTCTGTGGCTGCAATTTCCTGAAACATCTGGTTTGGGCTGCCGTCTCGACTGCTTTCCTCAGTCCCGTCCTGCAGCCACACTGGCCTCTGTGGGGGAGGCTCCCTTGTGTCTGCAGGCCCCCGGCAGAGCTGGGGCTGAGTCCTAGGTACCCAGCAGAGGCAGCTCACAGTACCTAGCTTGTAACCCCTCCACTTGTTACAGTTGTCCTATGAGTGGAATGTAGATCAGAAAGTCTGTTGAAATTTTATTTCTCAAATTGTGGTTGAGGAAACTACAAGTGTTTAGTCTTGGAGATGCGTGCTTCTTGAATGAAGATATTTTCAGCTCCAGGGGCCCGTTGGGAGGCAGCCCCATCATTAACTCAAGGAGCTTGGTGTGCATGTTGCATTCATATTGTTGTGAAGTGGGAAGATCCTACCTCCTGAGGAGCTGGGATCACAGGCCTGCGCCGCCACGCCTGGCTAATTTTGTATTTTTAGTGGAGACGGGTTTCTCCATGTTGGTCAGCCTGGCCTCGACCTCCCGACCTCAGGTGATCGGCCTGCCTTGGCCTCCCAGAGTGCTGGGATGACAGGCGTGAGCCACTGCACCCGGTCTGGAGTCATCTCTAGTTGCCGACTGGCATACTCTTCACAGCGCCGTGGGTTCCCTGCAGGTTTTCTGTTGACTGTGGGTTGCCAGTCTGTTCCTCCGTCTTTCTCACGGTCCCCTCTCCTTTCTGTCCCCAGCGGCTAGCCTTGATGTACCGAATGCAGGTTGCAAATATCGACAGGTTTGAAGAGAAGCTTCGAGCAGCTGAAGATGAGCTGAATATCGAGGGCAAGGATAGGATTCCGGTTACCTACAAGCGAACGGGATTCTTTGGAAAGTATGTCGGACATCTTTAAACCCAGCTTGGCTTTGTAATGTGAGAAACAGATTGCAAACAAAAATCTCAAACTGTCTTTGCCTGTAGTTAACTAGACTCCTCTGTGGGAGGGTTAAATAAACATAGAAGTGAATGATACAATGCCAGGAAATTTGCAAATGTAGTCAACCCTGGGTATCCATGGGGGACTGGTTCCAGGACCTTCCAAGAATACCAACATCTGAAGATGCCTAAGTCCCTGATGAAAATGCCGAAGTGTTTGCAAATAACCTGAGAACATCTTCTGATACGCTTTCAGCCGTCTCTAGATTGCCAGTCACGCCCAGCACCCTGTAAATAGTATTTTGGCAGTTGTTGTCCTTTATTGTTTAGGGATAATGACAAGAAGCTTCTGCGCACGTTCAGCTCTGGTGCGATTTTTCAGTCTGTGCTTGATCGAACATAGAGAAGTGGAGCCCGTGGATATGGAGGCCAGCTGTATGCGAGTCTGTTGGAGTTTGCTTCGTCACTCTCTTCAGTTGTCCGGCATGCCTGATTCACATTCTTGTTTAATTTTCGCTGAGTATGTTGTTCCATGAGGTTTTCCCCAATGGTCAGATGAAGGGTACAAATGCTAGAGATACCTAGTGACCCAGCCAGCCTTGGACAATAACGACATCCACGTTTTTCTAGTTTCATGCTGTTTTGTTTTCAAAAGTAACTGATCAGTTTCAGTTAGCAAGGCAAGATCAGCCTAGCAGTAAACGAAAAAGAGAGTCAAGGACTTTGATAATGTCCTGGGGTTGCTGTCTTCTACAAGAGGGGTAGAAACAGGAATGTGAAGTTCTCACTTGAGTGTTGAGGGAGAAGCAGACCTGGTGGGAGCTGTGGGCATTTATGGGCCATGGGCCCTGACACAGGTTCCTTCCTAGGAGCAAATGAGGGGCCAATAGGTACTGAAACCAGAGAGGTTTATTGTTCCCTTGTAGTCTCTGAAGATGTAGAATGCGGTGACTGGCAAGTACTCCTTTGATTAAAATGCACCTCTAGCTGCATGCAGTGGCTATGCCTGTAATCCCAGCACTTTGGGAGGCTGAGGCAGGAGGATCTCTTGAGCCCATGAGTTCGAGACCACCTGGGCACCATGGAGAACCGCATCTCTACAAAAAAAAAAAAAAAAAGATGTACCTCTAATTGTACAACCCAGCAACTCCTGGAAGATCAGTGCTCTGAGGCTGTGCTTCTCGTGTCTTTGTAGGTCGATGATGCAGAGAAGGTGGAGGATCAGGGCAGCCCTTCCTTCAGGATGAGGGCTGAAGTCCTGGGATTTGAGACAGGGTCTCACTCTGTCACCCAGGCTGGAGTGCAGTGCACAGTCTCGGCTCACTGCAACCTCAGCCTCCTGTGATGAGGTGATTCTCCCCCCTCAGCCTCCTGAGCAGCTGGGACTACAGGCACATGCCACCACGTCCAGCTGAGTTTTTTTGTATTTTTAGTAGAGACAGAATTTTTTTTTTTCTTTTCTTTTTTTGAGACGGAGTCTCGTTGTGTCACCCAGGCTGGACTACAGTGGCATGATCTTGGCTCACTGTCACCTCTGCCTTCTGGGTTCAAGGAATTCTCCTGCCTCAGCCTCCAGAATAGCTGGCATTGCAGGTGCACACCACCATGCCCTGCTAATATTTGTGTTTTCTGTAGTAGAGATGAGGTTTCACCGTGTTGGCCAGGCTGGTTTTGAACTCCTGACCCTGTGATCCACCCGCCTCAGCCCCCCAAAGTGCTGGGTATTACGGGCCTGAGCCACGGCGCCTGGGTGTTACGGGCCTGAGCCACGGCGCCTGGGTGTTACGGGCCTGAGCCACGCGTGTTACGGGCCTGAGCCACGGCGCCTGGGTGCTACGGGCCTGAGCCACGTCGCCTGGGTGTTACGGGCCTGAGCCACAGGTGTTACGGGCCTGAGCCACGGGTGCTACGGGCCTGAGCCACGGCGCCCCCGGCCTGGGATTTGCTTTTTACTGCTAGACTGATCTTGCCTTGCTGATTGAAACTGATTGCTTACTTTTGAAAACAAAATATACTGAAAATAGAAAATCCTGACCGTTATTGTCACAAGGCTGGCCAGATCACGAGGTATTTCAGGCCTTTGCACACTCAGTCTGACGTTTGGGAAGCCTTCATGAAACAGCGTAGTCAGCGAGAATGAAATGAGAGAACCCATTTTCACGTCATCTGCCTCTGTGCATCAGTCCCAGACGTAGGGATTACTCCTGTCGTCTTCAAAACCTTGCTGCTGGTGGTTCTGACGTAGAAAAGTGTGTCTGTCTCGTGATGCCATCTGACCCTGCCCCTGCCTCTTTTTCTTCTGGCAGTGCCCTGTATGCCCTGGGGATGACAGCAGTGGGCCTGGCCATCCTGTGGTACCTTTTCCGCCTGGCTGGAATGACTGGAAGGGAAGGTGGATTCAGTGCTTTTGTAAGTTCTGTCAATCAGAGCTCTCTGAACTTACAGCCTCAGGATTTTTCTGCTTGTGTTTGCTGAATACTTTTCCCATAAGCTGTAGGATAGGTACAGTAAATAATACAGTGAAAACCTGTCCAGGAGAGTAGCCTGAAGCCATAATTTGGCAGCAGCCAAATTCCCATGGGCTTTGTTTCCCGGGCTGGCTGCAAGGCGGCTAGTGACCAGCATTGCCTGAGGGCCTCTCACCCTTACTCTGTGGTGCCTGAGCCAGGTGAGTTTACAAGGCAGTTGAACCTGCATGTTTCTTTTCTTTTCTTTTTTAAAGAAAGTCTTGCTTTATTGCCTAGGGTGGAGTGCAGTGGCATGATCTCTGCTCACTGTAACCTCTACCTCCTGGGTTAAAGCAGTCCTCCTGCCTCAGTCTCCTGAGTAGGTGGGACTACAGGTGTGGACCGCCATGCCTGGCTAATTACTGTATTTTTGTAGAAACAGGGTTTTGCCTCGGGAGGCAGAGGTTGCAGTGAGCCGAGATTGTGCCCCTGCACTCCAGCCTGGGACAGAGCAGACTCCTTCTCCAAAGAAAAGAAAGAAACAGGGTTTTGCCGTGTTGGCCGGGCTGGTCTCGACCTCCTGGGATCAGGTGATCCTCCCACATCGGCCTCCCAAAGTGCTGGGATTACATTTGTGAGCCACCAGCCTGGCTGAATGCATATTTTTAAATGATCAGCTGGCAAAGACTTTGTTCCTCTTCGTTTCCTAGTAGCTAAGAAGCTGAGGAATTTAAAAGGTTGTCTTTAAAGGAACAACCTTAGACCAGGCACCGTGGCTCACAATTTTTGTAGTTTTGGTAGAGATGGGGTTTCATCATGTTGGCCAGGCTGGTCCCCAAACTCCTGGCCTCAGGTGATCTGCCCTCCTTAGCCTCCCAAAGTGCTGGGATTAGAGGTGTGAGCCACTGTGCCCGGCTGGGGGTAATGGTTTTTAAGGTAAATAGCTAGTCAAGTCTCTTAGTAATTAATGACATGAAACAAGTTTTCCTTGTATGCCTCAAGACTGACCCATGTGCCCTGTCAGTCTAACTTGAGTGGAGCCAAAGGGATCCTGGAATGGAGACGCAGGGCAAGGGGTTGGAGCAGCTCAGGTACGTGGGCTGAGCCTCCTGCGTTGTGTTGCTGATTTCCTCACTTTGCACAGCTCCTTGTACTTCGTTCTTTCTGCACAGAATCAGCTTAAAATGGCTCGTTTCACGATTGTGGATGGGAAGATGGGGAAAGGGGTCAGCTTCAAAGACGTAGCAGGAATGCACGAAGCCAAGCTGGAAGTGCGAGAGTTCGTGGATTATCTGAAGGTGAGAGCCAGCGCTGACCAGGAGGGAGACGTGAGCAGACAGATGGTCTGCCTTCTCTCCCGGAAGGCCTTTTGAGGGGATCAGAGCCTTGGGACTCGGAATTCCATCGATTACATGTGGTGGATTGGTGGTGGCCTCTACCCTGTCCCGTGGGGACACCAGGCAGGTGCTGGTGCCCGTTCAACCAGCAGCGCAAGCTCCGTGCACAGCGTTCAGCCAAGGGGAGGGGCCGAGGCCCATGCTTGCTGTGCCGTTAGCCATCCTGGATTCCTGGCAGAGCTCTGTGCTTTTCCCAGAACCACGTAAACCCCATACGGAGTTCATGGCAGTGCATGACCTGGCTTTCATGTGCATCACTTCAACATCCTCTCTGAGGGTGTGGTGCAGTGGGTCATGCCTGTAGTCCTGGCACCTCAGGAGGCTGAGGCAGGGGGATTGCTTGAGCCCAGTAGTAGGAGATCAGCCTGGGCAACAGTGAAACCCTGTCTGCAAAAAAATTTTTTTTTTTTTTTTTTTTGAGATGGAGTTTCACTCTTGTTACCCAGGCTGGAGTGCAATGGCGCGATCTTGGCTCACCGCAACCTCCGCCTCCTGGGTTCAGGCAATTCTGCCTCAACCTCCTGAGTAGCTGGGATTACAGGCACGCGCCACCATGCCCAGCTAATGTTTGGTATTTTTAGTAGAGACGGGGTTTCACCATGTTGACCAGGATGGTCTCGATCTCTTGACCTCGTGATCCACCCGCCTCGGCCTCCCAAAGTGCTGGGATTACAGGCTTGAGCCACCGCGCCCGGCCCTGGTTTTCAGTTTTCTATAGAGCGTTCTCTGAAGGCAAAAGTTACAGAGATGGAACAGAGATTTGTGGTTGCGAGGGGCCAAGGATGGGGAGGGAGACAGCCGAGGGATCCTGTGGTTGGGCTGTTGCCCGCCTTGGCTGCGGTGGGTACATGAGCGCACACACTGCGTGTGTGTCACGGGGTGGCCCAGGAGCTTGGAGGACCGTCGTGGAGGGAGAGCCCGGCTCGGATCTAGTCATTGCTTGCGATGTGACCCCTGGAAGCAGGTGGACAAGGCATTGCTCGGCCCCCTTTCTTACAACTGCATGTGAAGCTACAGTTACTTTACAGTCAGAAACTTAACCAGAAACAAAGCAACTGGTCACATTTTCACACAGCTTCTTGTGGAGAAGGCCCCTCCCCTGTGAGGCGTGACTGCTCATCATAGAGCTCCTGCCCCACCATGCCTCTCGTCCGTGAGGCTCAGCTGTGGCACTCGGGGCTGCTGTCTGCAGGGACGGTTTCCAAGTGTGCTAAGCCTCGTGTGGCCCCTGTGGCTGCTTCCTTGAGACTCAGTGGTATCAGCCATCTTTAGATGACTCAAGTGAGTTACTGATCATAATATCTAATTGTCAACAATTGACATTTTTTTTCCTGGAAGAGGAATTTTGGCAACAAAACTTGCCAGTGGTCCTGCAGGCTGCTGTCCACGGCTGTGCAGTGAGGCTCAGGAGGCAGGTGTGTTTCCTGAGTGCCGTGGCAGCACGGCCTCAGAAGCGCAGGCAGCAGGAACTCAGGCTGCACCCCCAGCTCACTGTGAGCTTGCAGCTCATCAGAGTGTCTTGAGGAACCGTCCTGGAGGCACACGGGTGGAAGGCGCCTGCAGCACTGGGTGCGCAGGCACAAATGACCACAACGCTGAAGGCGTGGCGGTGAGAGCCACGTTGGGCAGCTCCATGGAAGGACGCTCTGGAGGCTTGGGCTGGACAAGTTAAGGACTTAATGGGAAGAAGGTGGAGGGTCTTCCAGACAGAGGAAGTGCCTTTCATACCTAGAGTGTTTTTTGTTTGTTTTGTTTTATTTTTCTGTTTTGAGACAGAATCTCCCTCTGTCACCCAGGCTGGAGTGCAGTGGTGCAATCTCAGCTCAGTGCAGCCTGCGCCTCCCAGGTTCAAGCAATTCTCCTGCCTCAGCCTCCCAAGTAGCTGGGATTACAGGCACCTGCCACCACGCCTCGCTATTTTTGTATTTTTAGCAGAGACGGGGTCTCAGCAAAATTCATCATGTTGCTCAGGCTGGTCTCGAACTCCTGACCTCAGGTGATCTGCTTGCCTCAGCCTCCCAGAGTGCTAGGATTACAGGCATGAGTCACTGCCCCCTGGCCCCTAGAGTGTTTAAATGTCACCTTCTGTTGAGAATCTCAGCGTCAGATTCACTTTCATCTCTTACACCTCAAGGATCTTGTGAGGGTTTTTGTTTTTTATTTTTTTTATTTTATTTATTTATTTATTTATTTTTTTTTTGAGACGGAGTTTCGCTCTTGTTACCTAGGCTGGAGTGCAATGGCGCGATCTCGGCTCACCACAACCTCCGCCTCCTGGGTTCAGACAATTCTCCTGCTTCAGCCTCCGGAGTAGCTGGGATTACAGGCACGCACCACCATGCCCAGCTAATTTTTTGTATTTTTAGTGGAGACGGGGTTTCACCATGTTGACCAGGATGGTCTCGATCTCTTGACCTGATCCACCCGCCTCGGCCTCCCAAAGTGCTGGGATTACAGGCGTGAGCCACCGCGCCCGGCCCCTGTTTTTTATTAATTCTTCCGTCTCAGCCTCCTGAATAACTGAGACCACAGGCACATGCCACCATGCCCAGCTAAGTTTGTTTTTTGACTTTTTTAGGGGTTGGGGAGAGAGTCATGCTCTGTCACCCAGGCTGGAATGCAGTGGTGCAGTCTCGGCTCACTGCAACCTCTACCTCCCAGGTTCAAGCGATTCTCCTGCCTCAGCCTCTCAAGTAACTGGGATTACAGATGCATGCCACCACGCCTGGCTAATTTTTTTTTATTTTTTAGTAGTAACAGGGTTTTACCATGTTGGCCAGACTGGTCTAAAACTCCTGATCTCAGGTGATGCACCCGCCTCAGCCTCTCAGAGTGCTGGGATGACAAGCGTGAGCCACCGCACCTGGCAGGAATTTCTTAAGGTTCATTTCCTTAGGTGAAAGTTTCAGAGGTAGGATTTTGAGTTAAACGAAATGCTGTTTACAGCTCTTAATCCTGCCTGCCACGCAGTTCTCAGACAGGGCTGTACTGGGCTGCGCCAGCGCAGAACCCCAGAACGTGTGCAGGGCCTGTTTGAGGACCCTCCTCGGCCTGGTTCTCTAGGTCATCCGCTCGCGTGTGATCATGGAGTACAGTGGATTTCTCCTGCAGTGCCTTGACTCGTGGTTGGAAGAGGCCTCTCTGTGGTCCTGCGTCCTGGGTGCTCTGTTGGCCTCCTTCCTGCCGCTGAGGAGGTCCCGGAGGCCAGAGAGGACTCACTGAACAGCTAAACTGTTTTAGTCTCAGGAGCTTCAGAAGAAGGTGGCATGATGGGGTTAGACTCTCCCAAGGGCTGTGTGGCCTCAGCACCGTGTTGGGCAGACCCTGCTCCCTGACGCAGTGAGACAAAGCGCCCACCTGTGTCACACAGCCTGTGAATTAACATGCCTGGCTGCCCCCTGCTGGAGAAGGGCTACATGTTAGTGACACAATTGGAGATGAAATCCAAGCCGACATTTGACTTTTATTTTTATTTTATTTTATTTTTTCTTGGGACGGAGTTTCGCTCTTGTTACCCAGGCTGGAGTGCAATGGCGCGATCTCGGCTCACCGCAACCTCCGCCTCCTGGGTTCAGGCAATTCTCCTGCCTCAGCCTCCTGAGTAGCTGGGATTACAGGCACGCGCCACCATGCCCAGCTAATTTTTTGTATTTTTAGTAGAGACGGGGTTTCACCGTGCTGACCAGGATGGTCTCGATCTCTTGACCTTGTGATCCACCCGCCTCGGCCTCCCAAAGTGCTGGGATTACAGGCTTGAGCCACCGCGCCTGGCCCTACATTTGACTTTTATGAGACATTCTTTGGCCAGGCGCAGTGGCTAATGCCTGTAATCCCAGCACTTTGGGAGGCTGAGGTGGGAGGATCATCTGAGCTCAGTCGTTTGAGACCAGCTTGGGCAACATAGTGAGACCTCATGTTCTACTAAATTAAAAAAATTAGCAGGGCACAGTGGTGTGCACCTGTATTCCCAGCTACTCAGGAGGCTGAGGTGGGAGGATCACTTGAACCTAGGTGGTCGAGGCTGCAATGAGCCTTGATTGCACTACTGCACTCCAGTCTGGGTGACAGAGCGAAATCTATGGCAACAAAAAGAAAAAAGAAAATGGGACACTGTTGATATGGTCACAGAGCTTCTGAAGGAGAAGCATTGGCCGTGGTTCTGGATCCTCCCTCTGGGGCAGCTGGAGTAGCTTTTGGGAAGTTATTTCTTGCAGTTTCACAGGGCGTCCCATGTTTCTAGTAGAAAACACAGTTTGTAGTTAAATATTGGAAGTAGTAATTAGATACTCAACTGAGAACGTAAATTTGCTCTCTAAAATAAGCAGTAGAATTTATAAAATTGTCTTTATGAATATCAGCTTTAAGTATTAAGTACACCATTAGAATCTGTTAAGACAAGACACAGTGATATCTAAAATGTACCTTCGTATTTTCAAAGCAATTATTTGACAAACCTTTTCAGTAGGTTTCATTTTGGGTTTTTTTTGTTTTTGTTTTTGTTTTTGTTTTTGTTTTGAGATGGAGTTTTGCTCTTGTTACCCAGGCTGGAGTGCAATGGCGCGATCTCGGCTCACGGCAACCTCCGCCTCCTGGGTTCAGGCAATTCTCCTGCCTCAGGAGGCTGGGATTACAGGCACGCGCCACCATTCCCAGCTAATTTTTTTTTTTTTTTTTTTTTTGAGACGGAGTTTTGCTCTTCTTACCCAGGCTGGAGTGCAATGGCGCGATCTCGGCTCACCGCAACCTCTGCCTCCCGGGTTCAGGCAATTCTCCTGCCTCAGCCTCCTGAGTCGCTGGGATTACAGGCACACGCCACCATGCCCAGCTAATTTTTTGTATTTTTAGTAGAGACGGGGTTTCACCATGTTGACCAGGATGGTCTCGATCTCTTGACCTCGTGATCCACCCGCCTCGGCCTCCCACAGTGCTGGGATTACAGGCTTGAGCCACCGCGCCCGGCCAACCCAGCTAATTTTTTGTATGTTTAGTAGAGACAGGGTTTCACCATGTTGACCGGGATGGTCTCAATCTCTTGACCTCGTGATCCACCCGCCTCGGCCTCCCAAAGTACTGGGATTACAGGTGTGAGCCACCGCGCCCGGCCTTTTTGGTTTTTTGAGACAGTTTCACTCTGTGGCCAGGCGCCAGGCTGGAGTGCAGTGGTGCGATCTCTGCAACCTCCGCCTCCTGGGTTCAAGCAATTCTGCCTCAGCCTCCTGAGTAGCTGGGACTACAGGCGCGCGCCACCATGGCCAGCTAATTTTTGTATTTTAGTAGAGACAGGTGTTTCACCATGTTAGCCAGGATGGTCTCGATTTCTTGAC